AATACGTGATGGAATGGAACTTGTTCCTCAGCCAGAAGATAGCACATCCATCTGTGAGTGCCACAGGAAAAATCCTTTCAGAGAAGAGCTTTAAGCCATCCCAGATTGACACTCCTGTGAGTGCCGACTACATCTTTAAAGAAAGCCTTAAGCTGTAAAGAACAGTACAAAAGACTTTACCCAGTGGACTAGTTCTCTTAATGGCTTTATATAATGTGGATGGATAAAGCAATACGGGTTGAGTATCCCTTATCCGAAATGCTTGGGACCAGAATTGTTTCAGATTTCCTATTTTTTTTCCTTCAGATTTTGGGATATTTGCACATACATAATGAGATACCTTGGAGATGGGACCCAAGTCTAAACACAAAATTCATTTATGTTTCATATATACCTTATACATATAGCCTGAAAGTAATTTTATGCAATATTTTTAATAATTTTGTACATGAAACAAAGTTTATGTACATCAAACTATCAGGTGTCACTATCTCGGCCACCCATATGATGGTGTCATGGATTTTGGAGTATTTCAGATTTGGGATTTTTGTATTAGAGATGCTCATCCTGTATTTGAGCAAGTATTACCAAATATCTTTGGATAGTAATATCTTTTGAGTAAAAACTGCTATTATCAGCATGACAGTTTCTCTAAAAAGAGAACTTAGGGATCATAGCAGGTAGAGAGGCTTGCCAAAATAGAAATCAGCCTCTGTGAAACTGTTCATATCATACTTACTGGTTTATTTCTATCCCCCGCCCACTTTCTATCTTCCACTTTCAGTAATGAAGAGAGACTATTTGTGCAGAGTTCCTCCCACCCTAACTGCATACTTTCTCCCTTTATAAGCTGCTTTTGGCATTCAGCAATAGCAGCCTCCTTTGGAAGGTCTGATAAGGATAATTAAGGAAGAAGAAGATGACTCTGTTATTAAAGGTGGCATGGAGGGAATATTTTTTAAAGCAATCTTCATTTCTTTTAAACTAAATTTTGCTAAGGCCTGAGACAAAATTAATGAGAGATTGAGCCTTCAGCTAGTGGTTCCCACTCTATCTGGGTTGTGTACCCATCCAGGACAACACAGTTATTAACATAGATGAAGCCATCTGTGGGCATCATTCATTATCTGTCTATTAAATAGATAAAAGATAATTGTAGTCAGGTGGAGAACTTTAGTTCTTTTTAACCTTTGAAAGAGATTGGCAAAACATTGAAAACCTCTACAACAAGCTTTAGGAAGCCTGGTATCTTGGGATCCACTAATATGCCAACAGCAGAGGCAAGCGCCTCACACCACCATTCCTCTATTTCAGTGAGTTTTATTACTAAGATAAAGACTTTGGAAATTTCCTCTGCCTTTTAGGACAGGGCCGTGACTTAGAACTCATAGCCCGGAAGTTTGTTACACACTCCTTGCAGTACCACCAATCCAAGATTCAGTTCACTATCTTTACCTTTATGCTCTAAAAACAGGAGTTAGCCTCACTCCCAATTTAAAAATATTTACTCTCCTAGTTGAAATATTTACTTAATCTCTGGAAAACAATGTAGCCATTTTAAAGTGGTCATATCTATTTTTTCTGAAGAATAATGAGAACACAGGATTTTTTTTAAACTGAGCAAAACCAAATTTCAGAACAGTCTAATCAAAGCCAAGTATCCAAGGCAAACTCTAATACCCATCAATTGTTCAAAACCACAAGTGCACAAGTATAAAATAAAGGGCAAACTGTCCTGAGACCATACCTTGTTGAATACGTGTCTTACATATATTGTATGTAGTGTTTGGGGCTTGTCAAAACTGGGATTATGGCAAGAAAGGTTGCCTCCCTCATACTTCTCTGCCCTGAACCTCAGGTCCTGATGGCTAATGGCATTTTGTTAGAAACATCTTAAATTTTTAACATTTACATCACCTGCTGCCAAAATAGGCCTAGTAGTTAAAAGCAAGTTGAGTCAAACCAGGCAGCTTTGGGGAGTGGAACAGAAAGGATGTGCTTGAGAAATAAAGTGAAACCCCTCAAGAAATTCTATAGGGAGAGAGCAGCCTTAAT